CTAATTCACATTTCTTCCATGCTACGACATCGGCGTGTAGGCGTGGCAACAGGATTGGGGAAGTTCTGAATTCAAATGGGGAACGTGTTGCTGAACCAAAAGCTATTCAAGATGAATTTATGAACTTCTTTATGAGCAAATGGAGAGACAGACAAGTTTGTATGGATTATTAGACAAATTTTCAGAGCAATGACAAAGTTCTTGATTTTATGATTGAAGGCTTGGAGGCTGCCATCACAGAGCAAGAGATCCAGAAAGCTGTATTCTCTATGGGGAAGAATAGAGCACTGGGAGTCGATGGTATTACGTCTTCTTTCTTAAAATTCTATTGGGAAATTATTAAAAAGGATGTATTTCATGCTATTTTACATTTCTTTAACTCTAACTCCATGAGTGAAAGCTGGAAGGATACTATGATTATTTTAATTCCTAAGATGGATAATGCTGATTTGCCATCCAAGTATGGGCCAATAAGCTTATGCCAATCTTTTTACGAGATTGTTGCCAAGATCTTGATCAACCGGATGAAGCCAGTGCTGGAGAAGATTGTTAGTGAAGAGCAAGGGGATTTTGTACCAGGTAGATCCATTTCTAGCCACAGGTTGGTTGCTCAAGAAGTTATGTGCAAATTTCAGAACTCTCTTCAAAAAGCTGGAATGATGGCACTCAAGGTGGATATAGAGCAGGCATACGATTGTATGTCATGGGAGACTTTGCAAGCTGTGATGAATTATATGGGTTTTTCGAAGAGATTCACTCAGTGGGTGATGCAATGTGTTGTCAATCCCAGGTTTTCCCTTATTATGAATGGGAATAGAACTCCATGGATGTATGCTAGGAGTGGACTAAGACAGGGGTGGCCCTTATCGCCGTATTTGTTCATTTTATGCTCTGAGCTTCTGACGAAAGCTTTGAGGCAGAGGGGAGCACATCTTGGGATCCAGGTGACCAAGAATGTTGAGAAGATTTCGCATCTGCTTTATGCATATGACATCTTAGTATTTACAGAGGCTTGTCGAGGCAGCGCCAATCAGATTATGAATATCTTGAATAATTATTGCTCGTGGACTGGACAAAAAATTAACTATGGGAAGTTTGTTATTTTGTTCAATAGGAGATGCCAGAGCTGGAAGAAAAGAATGATTTCTAAGTTGACGGGGTTTCGTAAAGTGAATTCATTGGAGTACCTTGGATTTCCCCTGGTCATGACGAGATTAATTGCAGAAGACTTTGTGAAAGTCCTGAAGACTGTTCATGAGAAAACCAACCTGTGGGTGAAGAAGCACATATCGATGGCGGGGAGAGCTCTCCTTATTAGAACATCGTTGTTAACTGTCCCTATGTACTTAATGACTCATACTGCTGTTCCTATGGGGGTTCTCAGCAAGGTGGAAAGAATGTGTAGGAGGTTCTTATGGCAAAATGATGTGAATAGTAGAGGGATGCCTTATGTTGCAAGGAATGAGCTATGTCAACCTAGGGAGCAAGAGAGACTTGGATTTCAATGCCTTGCTTTATGGCAGAGTTCCCTGAGAGCACGTTTGGCATGGGAGGTTATGCAAAATGACAATTCTCTATTGAGAAAGGTTGTCTTACCTAAATATGGGTCAAATATTTGGTGTTACAAGAAGGGAAGAAATGTGTCTATATCCTGGAAGGTGATCCTAGATGGTGTAACGGCCCTTCGTCCCATTCTCAGGTGGAAAATTGGAGATGGCCACCAGGTGGATGTGCTGAATGATAAGTGGATCCTGGATAGGAACATTGCTCGCTGGCCTACCATTGTGAATGTGGCTGAGCTTGAGGATGCTAATGTAAGTAAATTGTTAGACAACTCTTAACAGTGGAATAAGGATATGGTGGAAAATTTCTTTGGGAAAGTCATAGGACAACGTATCATGGAGATTAGTATGAATAATTAGAATGGATGTGATTGTCCTGTACTCCTCTATTCACGGGTTAGGAAGTCTTTGGCTGCAATGGCTTATCGTGAGAAGATTGATATGGAGGCTTACCAATTTCATTGGTTACAAAGACTGAAGCTGCATCCTAGGGAAAATTTTTTCTGGTGGAGATTGCTGAGAAATGCGATTCCAACGGTGAAGTGGTTGTTTTGCAGGGGACTAGCTGAATCCCCACTGTGCCCGTGGGGATGTAATGAGGAGGAGACTATTGACCACTGCACTACGAGGTGTGTTAAACTGAAATAGGTTTTTTGTACTCTTGAGAAGTGGGGATTTCGTATGCCAGTGGTTAATTCTTTATTGGAGTTAATGAGGGAGATCATTAATACGATTAAAAAGAATCTGTGTAAGGGCAGATTGTACTGCTATGTTGTTTATCAACTATGGCGTGAAAGGAATTACTTGAAGCATACTAGAACTTGTAGAGCTCCTGCTGTGATTGCTGCCACGGTGTTGTTGCTGCTACCGAAGATGTATAATTTGCCTATTCTTGAGCAATGGGGTACCAACCAGCCCTTGGGGCTGCCTTCCCATAAAATTTGGTGCCCTCCCCCTCCAGGGTGGTTGAAATTCAATGTGGATGCTTCCTTGAGACCTTCTAATCACTTTGGTTTGGGTATTATTGCCCGGAATCATGTTGGTGCAGTTATTCTTGCTGCTGGAAGGTGCTGTGAACATTGGGATGCAATGTATGCAGAGATTGTGGCGGCTGAAGCTATTCATGAGTTGTTGGAGGAATGAATGTTTGAGCTTGAAGGAATCATCATAGAGGGAGACTGCATCAATGTCATTAGATGGATGCAAAATTTGGATGATTGTCAGAATAAAGTCCAATACTACGTTGATGGACCGGATCTTTCTTTCTTAATGGAGTTTAAACAGGTACTTTTTTAGTTTATACCCAGACATAGTAACCAGTCTGCTGACTTCTGTGCTCGACTTACTCTTGATGGTAGTTTTCTTTTCCATAATGTAAATGATAGAGAATTCCCCTCGACTATGTTGTCTTTGTTGAGGGAGGATAGTGATAGGGTATAGAGGTTTTATTCCTTTGATAGTTATTTGTAACTAGTTTTCTTTTATTATTAACGCAAATGTAGATATTCAGCTCTCTCTCTCTCTCTCTCTTTTGCGTCTCTCTCTCTCTCTATTGCCTCCTTCACTCTCTTTCTTTCTCTATTACCTCTTTCTCTCTCTCTTTCTCTTTTTCCTCTCTCTCTCTCTCCCTCTCTCTCTCTCTCTCTCTCTCTCTCTCTCTCGCTCTGTCATGACCCAACCCGACCGGAATGAATCCTTTCGCGTCGGGTCGGCACAGATGAAATCCAGGATCTAGTTTTGGAATTTGTTTCAGAACTTTCTTCCAAAATATCAAACAAACAAAAAACACAGAGCTGCTATAACTTTAAATATATATACAGAAATTTATCTACTATTTTCTTCTTTCTTTCATCAAAATAATCATGTACAATACAGTGCATCATGACTGTACAAAAATCAAAAGTATAAAATACTTAATCACTGAACTTCTAGTCCAAGACTTCCTTCCCTTTCCCAGAACCTGAAAATCATGCAAAAAATAAGGATGAGCTAACAGCTTAGCATGACAACACTCACCAATCAAAATCTCCAGAAATCCACATCATAAAATTTATCAGAAGCAGTCATTCAAATAGCCGTACAGAACTCAAATAGTAGTACAAAAATTGTATATCAAATAGAACACAGAAATTGAATAACAGACAGAACAAATACATGGAACTAAATTCATCGATACATGAATTCAAATCAGAGTGCATAACAGATCTTATAAAACTTTCAAATCACAGAACAAATCGAATCGTATAAATCAGAATTCAAATTAGACAAAATCACATTTCACATATCAGATATCAAATATCCCTGACCGTGACAAAATCTCAATGGATGCTGGCCCCTTATGCCTCCCTTCCCTGACACAGACAAAATCTCAATAGATTCTGGCCCCTTATGTCTCCCGTTGTGCTTATAGCACCAAAACAGATCATATATTCAGAATTTCGGGAACATAACTTATTTTCAGATTTTCTCTGACACAGACATAATCTCGAAGGATTTTGACCACTTATAACTCCCTTTTGATAGCACATCACATAAGAACATTCAATTCAGAAAATCAGACTTCGTTAGAAAATCGTCAGCGGCATAACGGTAGTATACTAAATTTACAAAGACTTTGCAGATTCAAAAATTTACCAAATTATCACAGATGGTACAAAACATCAATAGAAGACTTTTGTTGTACTAAAATAGATAATTCTGACATCCAGATAATTTTGTATTTCGATAAAACGCCACAGAATTAGAAATCTCCGGGTAAAAATATTCTAGAAAACACTCAAAACGTGTACAAATATCATTTCTACAACATATAAAAAGTGACGCGGTAAAATTTTTGTCAGTACAAAATTATACCATAATTTTGCTAACGGAAATCAATTTCGAAATATAAAGTCGTCAAAATCCTCATTTCTAAAAATTGAGAAAGGAGGAATGTGCCTTACCTCACGTCGGTCAACTTTCTCAATTGCAGCGACGGACGAAAACGGATCGAAGTCGCCCAAAAATCACTTTCCTTCCTTTTTCCTTCCACTTTCTCTCTCCTGAACTTTCTCTCTCCTAAACTTTCTCTCTTCTAGACTTTCTCTCTCTTCAAAATGCCTTCATTTCTCATATATATCCATCCAGATCGTCCCGAACGATCCGAATTCATCCCGGGATGATTTGCTCAGTGGACAAATTTCGTTCGGACGTGTATAGTAATCGTACTTGGACGAGTTGCCCTCTGGACGAATTTTGTACGGACGATCCTTACTTCATCCTGGGATGAACTTCTCTATCCAGAATTTTCTCTACAACCTGTACCGATCGTCCCGGATGATCCGACTTCGTCCGGACGAACCTGGAAGGAAAAACAGGTTTCCAATCTCCCCAACTTTAGAAAAATGTCATCCTCGACATTTCCAAAATAAAACTGAGTCAGAACAGGTTCGGATATAACTATCTCATATCCGACTCCTTCTCCCAAGTTGCCTCTCCTCTTATTCCGTGCTTCCACTGAACTTTAACCATCGAAATCTGTTTACTTCTTAACTTGCGCATATCATAAGCTAAAATCTTTTCAGGCTCTTCCTTGTACTGCAAATTCTCCTGAATCTCCACATCATCAGCAGACAGTTTCTTTTCAGAATTAGAAATCCACTTTCTCATAGAAGATACGTGAAACACTTTATGTACATCGGACATCTGATCAGGCAATAACAGCCTATAAGCAGCTTTTCCAATCCTTTCAATGATCTCAAAAGGTCCGACATACCTTGGACTAAGCTTACTCACTCTTCCAAATCTACTGACACCCTTAATCGGAATGACTTGACATAAATAAAGTCACCAACCTGAAATTCAACAAATCTGTGCTTCTGATTATAATACTTCTGTTTCCTATCTTGAGCAGCTTTCAATCTTTCTTTAATCAAATTGTTTTTCTTAACAGATTCATCCACAAAAGTCATACCCATTTCTTGTCTATCTCCCACCTCAGTCAAAGTCAAAGGAGTTCTACACTTTCTGCTGTACAAAGCTTTGTAAGGTGCCATACCAATACTGGACTGAAAACTATTATTATAAGCAAATTCAATCAAAGGGATATGATCTTCCCAACTGCCTCCAAAATCTAAAACACATAGCCTCAGAAGATCTTCCAGTACTTGAATTGCCCTCTCAGACTGTCCATCAGTCTGCGGATGAAAAGCAGTACTGAAATGCAATTTAGTACCTATACCTTACTGAATACCCTTCCAAAGTCTGGAAGTAAATCATCCATCTCGATCAGATACAATTACTTTTGGCACACCATTCAATATGATGATTTCTTTTACATATACCTGAGCTAACTTATCCACCGGATCCGTCTGTCTGATCGGAAGAAAATGTGCAGACTTCATCAGACGATCAACAATCACCCAAATTGCATCATGTCCTTGCCTTGATCGAGGAAAACCCATAGAGAAGTCCATCGTTATCTCCTCCCACTTTCACTCAGGGATAGGCAACGACTACAAAAGGCCTCCTGGTCGCTGATGTTCTGCCTTCTCTAACTGACAGGCTTTGCATTTTGAAACAAACTCCACTATATCCTTTTTCATTCCAGGCCACCAGAATAAAGTTTTCATATCTCTGTACATCTTACCATTTCCTGGATGAATGGTATAGCTTGAATAGTGAGATTCATACATAATCTCTTTCCTCAGATCTCTAGATATTTGAATCCACAGCCTGTTCTTATAGAAAATAATACCAGATTTAGGAATTCGTAGTTCAGGTTTCTTACCAGATTTGACTTCTGAGCTGCATGGATCCTCTCTTCCAAAGAAAGCTGTATGTCCAACTGAGTCAACACACCAAAATCCAAACCAGTAGAGAAAATCACCTCCAACTATAATCTTTCCATATCTCGTATCAGATACTCATCAGAAGTGAGGTGAATACCTGATAATCCCGAAGACTTTCTACTCAGAGCGTCTGCTACCACATTAGCTTTACCAGGCTGATACTAAATCGTCAGATCATAATCCTTGATCAGCTCAAGCCATCTTCTTTGCCTCAAATTCAAATCCTTCTGAGTGAATATGTACTTTAAACTCTTATAATTTATAAAAATCTCACACCTGATGCCATACAAGTAATGACACCAAATCTTCAAAGCAAATACAACTGCAGCTAATTCCAAATCATGCGTCGGGTAATTCTTTTCATGTGGTTTCAATTGCCTTGAAGCATAAGCTATTACCCGACCATGCTGCATCAGAACACAGCCCAGACCTTTCAGAGAAGCATCACTGAACACCTGAAATCCTTCGGTACCTGATGGAAGTGCTAACACTGAAGGAGAAGTTAAACAATCTTTCAACTTTTGAAAACTAGCTTCACACTCCAGTATCCAAACAAAAGCTACTAACTTCTGAGTCTGTGTCATCAGAGGTGCAGAAATCTGGAAAAATCTCTTCACAAATTTTCTATAATAACCAGCCATGCCCAAGAAACTACGTACCTCAAATACCATAGTAGGCCTTGGCCAATTAGCAACTACTTGAATCTTTTGGGGATCAATGAAAATACCTTCACCGCTCACTACATGCCCCAGAAAAGAAATGCTCTTCAGCCAAAATACATATTTGGAGAATTTAGCATACAACTGATGCTGTCTCAAAGTCTCCAACACAATCCTCAAATGTCCGGCTTGCTCTTCTTCAGAAGCAGAATACACCAGAATATCATCTATGAAGACAATCACAAACTGATCCAGATACTCCTTGAACGCTCGGTTCATCAAATCCATAAAAATAGCAGGTGCATTGATTACCCTGCATAACCAAAAACACGTAGTGCCCGTACCGAGTACTGAAAGCTGTCTTCACCACATCAGCTTCCTTTACCTTCATCTTATAGTATCCAGATCTCAAATCAATCTTCGAGAATATTGAAGATACAGCCAACTGATCAAACAAATCATCAATCTGTGGCAACGGATACTTGTTCTTGATAGTGACTTTATTCAGATCTTTGTAATCAATACACATACACATCATCCCAGCCTTCTTCTTCACAAACAGAACAGGTGCTCCCCAAGGAGAAACACTGGGACGAACAAATCCTCAAACCACCAACTCCTGGAGTTGAACTTTCAATTCCATAAGTTCATTTGGTGCCATCCTGTACGGAGCCTTAAATATCGGAGCCTTAGATATTGGAAATTAGATAAGATAAAACTCCTCTTAACCCTTGGAATACACACCTTTCACCATCCATAAGAAAACTCACTTGTTTCTTCAAACAGTCAATCTGAGCCTTATACAGACTCATCCAATCCATACCCAAAATCATATCGTACGAAGAAATCAGCAATAAAATCAAACACGATTTCCACTTCTTGCCAGAAATATCAATCTCACAAAAATAAAACTTTCGAGTAATCAAAGTATTCCTAGTCGGCAAAAGAATATAAAGAGAAACTGGCAACATCACAGAATCCAGATGCAAAGCATCAAAATAACGCTCGGACAAAAATAAATGACTAGCTCCAAAATCAAGTAAAACACGATAATGATGATCAGAAATATAAACCGTACATGTCACCACATATGGAGCATCTCGAGCCTCTTGCTGATTCAAACTATACACATGGAGCTAAACTGGAGCTGGAGCTACAGAACTACCAGACTCCCTCTGATCACTACTAGGTGGCTCCTCGCCATAGAACCTAAACCAGCTCTATTAGAGGATCCTTCAGAAAGAGTACGTGGAGAAACTATCCTTGGTCTTCCTGCTGATCTAGCAAAACTATCAGATCTGGACTCAGGTCGTCGATCAGATCCAACTTGTGGGCACTCCGCAATCCGATGTCCCGACTAACCACATCTGAAGCACTGACCAGTTACCCTATAGCACTGGCCAAAATGTCATCGTCCGCAAGTCTGACACACAGGTGCCCCACTGACTAAACCAGAACTAACAGTACTACCACCACCAGAAACTATAGTGGATCCTGACTGTCCACTCCTCCTGGAATCTCCAGAAGCAAATCTCTTCTTCCCAGAAAAACCACTGCTAGATGTGTCATCACCGAATCTCTTCCTACTAGCAGTACACCGCTGCTGAGTAGCCATTAAATCATTCTCTATCAGACGAGCACTCTCAACAAGCTCAGAGAAATCAGAAATGTGAAATGGTACCAGGGGTTGCCTCAGACTATCTTGTAGTCCCCTCAGAAATTTGTAGCACTTCTCAGGAGAAGTACTTACCAACTGCAGAGCATATCATGCTAAAGCAATAAACTCTATCTCATACTGCATAACTGTCCTAGTCCCCTAAACCAATCTCAGAAAAGTCTCCTACATCTGCTGTCTTGTAGAAGGAGGTACAAACCACGATCAAAATACTTCAAAAAATTCTTTCCAAGTGATCAGAGAGTTCAATTTACCTTGGAACTTTTCTTCCTGCTGGCCCATCCACCAGCACTCAGCCTCACCATCTAACAGAAAAATAGCTAATGGTACATTCCTGTCCGAATGACACTGCATACCTTCAAAGGTCTTCTCCAATCTCCTCAACCAATCCTCAGCTGCTCTGGGCTCAATAGTGCTCTCAAACCTCAGAGGTTTCAATCTCAAAAACATCTGTAGATGTCTATCTACATCCTCAGATCGAATAGTAGAGGCTTTATTCTGAGTCTCGCTCATCATCTGAACTACTAATGTAGCAAACTGAGAAATTGTATCAGAACCAACTACTAGGATAGAATTTGTTCAAAGGAGCTGCTTGACTAGCACTCTATCAATCAGTCATATCTGGGTCTGGCAGATCCATAATCACACAGAAAATTATGCACAAAACAACATAATAAAAATCCAGACAAACCAGAACTACCCCGACAGACTTATAGATCAATTCCTATAGCTCTGTCTTACAATCCAAATTTCAAAACTATTGCTCTGATACCACTAAGTATTGTCACGACCCAACTTGATCGGAATGAATCTTTTTGTGTCGGGTCGCGACAGATGAAATCCAGGATCTAGTTTTAAAATTTTTTTAGAACTTTCATGCAAAATATCAAACAAACAGAAAACACAGAGCTGCTATAACTTTAAATATATATATAGAAATGTATCCACTATTTTCTTCTTTCTTTCATCAAAATAATCATGTACAATACAGTGCATGACTGCAGACAGAAAAAAATTGAACAGAAAAGCCATGACTGTACAAAAATCAAAAGTATAAAATACCTAATCACTGATCAGACACTGAACTTCTAGTCCAAGACTTTCTTCCCTTTCTTAGAACTTGAAAACCATGCAAAAAACAAGGATGAGCTAACAGCTTAGCAAGACAACACTCACCAATCAAAATCTTGAGAAATCCACATCAGAAAACATATCAGAAGCAGTCATTCAAATAGCCATACAGAAATTGTATATCAAACATAACACAGAAATTGAATAATAAATAGAACAGATATATGGAACTCAATTCACCGATACATGAATTCAAATCAGAGTGCAGAACAGATCTTATAAAACTTTCAAATCAGAGAATAGATCAAATCGTACAAATTAAAATTCAAATCAGACAAAATAACATTTCACATATAGATATCAGATATCCCTGGCCCTAATAGAATCTCAACAGATTCTGGCCCCTTATGCCTCCCTTCCCTAACACAAACAAAATCTTGATGGATTATGGACCCTTATGTCTCATGTTGTGCTTATAGCACAAGAACATATTAGATATTCAGAATTTTTGTAACAAAACTTATTTTCAGATTTTCCCTGACACAGATAAAATATTGAAGGATTCTGACCCCTTATAACTCCCTTCTGATAGCACAACTCATTAGAACATTCAATTCAGAAAATCAGACTTCGTTAGAAAATCGTCAGCGGCATAATGGCAGTGTACGAAATTTACACAGAATTTGCATATTCAAAAATTTACCAAATTACCATAGATGGTACAAAACATCAATAGAAGACTTTCATTGTACTGAAACAGATAATTCCGACATCCAAATAATTTTGTATTTCGATAAAACATCGCAGAATTTGAAATATCTGATAAAAATATTGTAGAAAATACTCAAAACGTGTATAAATATTATTTCTACAACATATCAAAAGTTACGTGGTAAAATTTTTGTCATTACAAAATAATACCAGAATTTCGCTAACGGAAATCAATTTCAAAATAGAAAGTCATCAAAATCATCGTTTCTGAAAATTGATCTATAAGTCGCCTAAAAATCTCTTTTCTTCCTTTTTTCTTCGACTTTCTTTCTCTTTACTTTCTCTCTCTTCAAAATGCCTTCATTTCTCATATATATCCATCCAGATCATCCCGGACTATCCGAATTCATCCCGAGACGATTTGCCCACTGGATAAATTTTGTTCAGATGTGTACAGTAATCATACCTGGACGAGTTGCCCTCTAGATGAATTTCATATGAATGATCCTTACTTCATCCTAGGATGAACTTCTTTGTCCAAAATTTCCTCTACAACCTGTACCGATCATCCTGGTCGATTTGACTTTGTCCGGACGAACCTGGAAGGAAAAACAGGTTTCACACACACACTCTCTCTCTTTCTCTCTCTCTTGCCTCCTTCACTCCCTTTCTTTCTCTGTTACCTCTTTCTCTCTCTCTCTTTCTCTTTTGCCTCTCACTTGCTCTCTCTCTCAACTCCTCTTTGTCTCCTCCTCTCTCCTCTCTCATCTCTTATATGATAGTTCAGGCTCTCTCTCTCTCTCTCTCTCTTCCTCTCTTCTCTCTTTTGGCATCTCTCTCTCTATCTCTCTCTCCCTCTCTCCTCTTCTTTTACGTCTCTCTCTCTCTCTCTCTCTCTCTCTCTCTCTTCTCTTTCTCTCCCTCTCTCTCCCCCCTCTCCCTCTCTCTCTCACTCACTCTCTCTCCATCTCTTTATCTCTCTCTCTCTCTCTCTCTAAAGAAGAAATTTGGAAGGTTGTGTGTTCTTTGGGCCGAAACAAGGCACCAGGAAGTGATGGGGTAACAGCTTATTTTTTCAAGTTGTTTTGGTATATTGTTGGAGAGCAGGTTTTGAGAGCTTACTTAAAATTCTTTGAATTTGGTACTATGGATCCACAGTGGAAGGAGACGGTTGTGGTGTTATTGCCTAAGGTGAATAATCTAGATCAGCCATCAAAATTCAGACCTATCAGTCTGTGTCAAACAATCTACAAGATTGTTGTAAAGGTAATTGTGAACTAGTTTAAAGGGATTCTTCCTAGGTAAATGTCGAAGGAACTGGCTGCTTTTGTCCAAGGTCGCTCAATTTCAAATCATTGCTTGTTGGGACAAGTACTTATGAATAAATTCAAGGTTTCTAAATCTGCAAAAGGAATGTTAGCATTGAAAGTGGGCATGGAGCAAAGCATATGAGAAGATGAGTTGGAGGACTTTTGAGTTAGTTCTGAAGCATATGGGGTTCCCACCTAGATTTATCTCTTGGGTGATGAGCTGTGTTCAAGATCCTAAATTCTTAATTCTCATAAATGGAAAATTAACTGAGGGGATCACAACTGATTGTGGGTTCCGGCAGGGGTGCCCATTGTCACCTTACCTCTTTATTATCTATTATGAGCTGCTCTCTGCACACATCCATCAGAACTTCATGGAGTTGGGTGTTCCTATTAGTAGGGGGAGCTTCTGTCTCCCACCTACTTTATGGTGATGATACTTTAGTTTTTGCAGATGCATCTATTCCAAATGTGAAGAAGGTTTCATCCATTTTGGAGGATTATTGTTCTTGGACCGGGCAAAAGGTTAACAGATGCAAATCATATATCTTGTTCAGTAGATCGACTTCCTCCTCAACAAGGTCTCGGCTGGCAAAAATTATTGGATGCAGGAAGGTTGATGAGATGGAATATTTGGGGATCAAGTTTGCTATGAGAAGACTCAATAGGAAAGTCTTTTCTCCTTTGTTGCAGCAAGCTCGTGCTAAAACTTTAGCAAGGGGAATTGGACACCTCTCCTTTGTTGCAGCAAGATTCCTTCTCTCTCTCTCTCTCTCTCTCTCTCTCTCTCTCTCTCTAGGATTAGATGTGGTAGTGGTGGACAACGCCTTTCGTGGCATCATTATACTTTAATCCAGTTTTCTTTTACTTTTAGTTTAGGATTCTTATTTCCTGTAGGATTAGGCTTGTTTATCATGTACAACGCCCTTCGTATCACCATTCTATTTAATCTAATTTTCTTTTCATTTAGGTTAGGATTCTTCCTTTCCCTAGGATTTTACATGCTATTGGTGGACAATTCCCTTCATGGAATCTTTAAGGATCAATGATTTATGATTTTGATGATAGCAAACATTCTTATTTCTCTACGACAGCCTTATGTACTGACATTTCAGGTTTACACGATTGGACTATAATTTGGAATCAGCTCATGATTGGGTAGACTAGGTCTGAGTCAGTTTTTACACTTTTTCCTTTCTTGAGCTATTGTATTTGGTGTGGCACCTGATGATTTATAACTTGGTAGATTCTCTATAGTTCCCTAAAAGAGTTCTAGTTTTGGTAAGATCGTCCGAGATGATATTTATATCGTCCTGGACGATCTGTCTAAAAGTAGAAACCCTAATTAAGGCATCCTCATTAAAGCAACCATCATTATGCAAAACACATCGTCGTGGATGATTTTGCATCAGCTAGGATGATAGGATCAATTCAGAAAGAATCTGCCGCCATATCTATTTAGATATAACCTATTTTTGGACATCGTCCAAGTGGATCGTCCAAACTATAAAATATCATCAGGACGATATAGGTCAATTTTTTTTAAAATTTCTCTAGAATTTAAGGAAAGCATATATGACTTGATTTTACGATCAAATCGTCCTAAATGATTTCCAGATCGTCCTGGCCGATATGCTGGATGATTGGTCATCGGATAGCTATTTTCAGGGCGATGTCGAGGACGATATTACACAATTTGTACTGATCGTCCAGGATGATATATTATCATCCCGGATGATATGAATAAATTTTTTATGATCGTCTCAAATCGTCCCGACTGATTGGGCTTAAATTGTACTGATCGTATAGGACAATATGCCTATCATCCTAGACGATAATGTCGGCAACTTGCATAATGAGCTCATTTTTGAGAGCTTCTATTTAAGCTTTGTCAAGGCACTTTTGTAAGTGTCTTTGGCAGCTATTGTAGCTTCGTTTTTGTGGGGGAAAGTTGAAGAGAGAGTTTGAAAGGGAGTGAGGAAAGGGTGGAGTTTAAGAGAGGGAGAAGATCCTGTGTGGGGGAGTCAAGGGAGTGTGGAGGGGGTTCCACACGGTTGCTCTAGCAAGCTCGCACCTGAATACCATTATATTCAAGGCTTGTCTCGAGGGAAGATCACCAAAGAAGAAGATCTCTTTGGTGTCAAAGGACCCGACGACTCCGCCGCACCGGGGAAGGTGGAAGTGATTCTGTAAGGGCTTCTCCGCCTAGCTGTGGGAGCTAAAGGAGAGACACTTATTTTAGTGCAATACTTGGAGGGTGCCTCCAAGGAGTGGACGTAGGTCAAGGTTTGATCGAACCACTATAAATCTGGTGTGTTCTTTTCTTATTATTGCTTCCGTAATTTAATTTTTGCATTTGGTTTTCTATGTGGTGATATTGGTTTTAGTTTGTGCTTTAAGATTCTTCTTTACCAATTCACC